GTTCTGTCAGTCAGTGAATCAGTCTGAGTGTGTCATGCTGTAGTTCTGTCAGTCAGTGAATCAGTCTGAGTGTGTCATGCTGTAGTTCTGTCAGTGTCAGAGTGCGTCACTCTGTAGTTCTGTCAGTCAGTGAGTCAGTCAATAGCCAATATCATTAGTAAGTTTGACCAGTTTTGAGTTCATGTTGATTTCAGTCTGGGGGTCACAGGCCGCTGTCTCTGGAAGTGGGTTTGATAAAGACGCAGCACCAGCCAGTTGCAGGCTGGTTATCTGTGTGTCGGCTGGGTACGGAAAACCACTTTTATATGCGTGGACAAGGGGTGCAACTGTTCCCAAGTTCTGTAGAAAAATAAGATACCTTTAAGACCAAACAAAAAGGAGCATTTGCTGTTGGGGGCGTCACTGCTGTGCTCTGAAACCTCTGTAAAAGAAGCTGTCTCTGTGTAGATGTTGGGTGTACTTGTATCCAGAGGAATGTCAGTATAGGAATCCGTGTCTAACTGCAGCAGCGCTGCTCTGTCACTGTGGAGGAAGCACCAGAGTGTGTGTGGGATCTTGCTAACTCTTCCACAGGACACACCTCCCACTGAACCCCGCTTCCCACTGGATCTGAAGAGGCCTGCAACCCCCCATTCCTGTGTCGCTCACGTCAGTAAGCGGGGTCTGACCTCCAGGCATCTTCATATCTTCGGTCTTGGGCAGAGGTAGAGGAGCTCGGCTGATGAAGGCTGTTATCGACGATTCCGTCGGCCCCGCCGATGTTCGGGCAGCGGTGTCTCCGCAACGCGGGCCCCCAGCTCTTTTGGATTCTCGGGGCCTGTTCTCCCGAGGGAGGACCGTCTGGGGGGTGGGGGGGGATGCCAGGGAGCCGACCCGTCGCTGGTACTATACTCCACACCACCTCAACTGCACACCTGCTCTATACTCCACACTGCCTGAATTGTGCACCTGTGCTATACTCCATCACCACCTCAACTCTAATTGCACTATACTCCACACCTCCTCAACTGCACAACTGCTCTATACTCCATCACCACCTCATCTGTACACCTGCTGTATACTCCATCACCACCTCAATTGTGCACCTGCACTATACTTCACACCACCACAGCTGTACACCTGTTCTATACTCCACACCACCTTAACTCTAACTGCGCTATACTCTGCACCACCACAACTGTGCACCTGTGCTATACTCAACACCACCTCAACTGTATACCTGTACTATACTCAACACCACCTCAACTGTATACCTGTACTATACTCAACACCACCTCAATTGTATACCTGTGCAATACTCCACACCACCTCAACTGTACACCTGCGCTATACTCCGCACTACCTCAATTGTGCACCTGCTCTATACTCCACACTACCTCAACTGTGCACCTGTGCTATACTCCATCACCACCTCAACTCTAATTGCACTATACTCCACACCACCTCAACTTTACACCCGCGCTATACTCCACACCACCTCAACTGTACACCTGCACTATACTCTATAGTACCTCAATTGTGCACCTGCGCTATACTCCATCCTCACCTCAACTGTACACCTGTACTATACTCCGCACCACCTCAACTGCACAATTGTACTATACTCCACACCAACTTAACTGTACACCTGCGCTATACTCTGCACCGCCCCAACTGTATTACATCTGTGCTATACTCCCAACAGCTCAACTGTACACCTGCAATTTACTCCATGCCACTGATCTGTACCCCGCCCGCCTTGGAAACTGAGGTCTGGGCAGACCTTCTTCCGCATCAATTTAACAAGGATGCACCCCAAAACACAGCCAACAGCCCCAGAAACCAAGCTGCCAGCCTCACTCCTTTCCACATGAACCACAGCTAGCTGGCTGAAGAGAGCAGGAGCTGTCCACCCCCAGCTCTGATCGGAGACTTGGGGGTGCAGGAAGAGACATGGGAAATGCTTCCCGGGCCACACACACACACACATAGTTGCCTTTCCTTCCTGCATCTCCAGGACTCAGAGAGACTAGGTGCCCTGCTTAAACACAATCACCTTCCCAAAAGACTATATCTGCATCTCCAGGACTCAGAGAGACT